TACGACTAGTACTATATAGGATCACACACAGATTGCTAATTTGTTGTATCCTTTGTATTTCAAACAAAAAATTTTATTTTAACATTTCTACAACTTTTTAAAATTAATCTACAATTTTATTAAGTTTCTGGCAAAAAAGGAACGCTTTCTTCCGAAAAAGTTACTTGTAAATTAAAAGCAATCAAATTATTTTATTAAATAAAAGATCCTTTAACAAATCTTTTAGACGTTTACTAATTTTGTTTACAAAATCACTCTTTCGCTCAAGAAAAAAAAAAATTCTTTGATTGAAAATTGAATTGGATTTTTTTTTTTGGAAAAATTAATTTATTGGAAAGTCAATCTTTTTTTATAATTTTGTAAAATAAAGTTATGCACGGTTTTTTAAGAAAGTAAAATTACCGAGCGTTAAATAGGCAACTAAATTGTGCCTATTGAGAAGTTTCCAATGAAAATATTGAATAAAAAAACCTTAAAGTTTATACTTTAAGTTAAAAAAGGCAATTCCACACTACCATTTGAAAATTTCAGACAAATAAGTTACAATTTATTTTGCTAAATTAATGTGAAATAAATTTCAAAAACATTACAAATTTTTTAAACGAGCAATAAGATTATTATACATAGCGTATAACACAATATCTTTACACATACAAATTAATATAATGTACATCCAGATGATACAGACGATTCACACACATATGTACGTCTAAATTATGTTAAGGTAAATATTAATGAGCCTTCATACATTATGTGAGGATCATTGTGAAGTCATGCATTTGTCTGTTTGTTCCCATAAAATTTTAACATTAACCGGGTTAAAAAAATTCAACCCATATGAGTTTGAATAAAAAAATTTAAAATATAATAAAATATGTGTAGTTGTTAAATCCATGGTTTGTAAAATATCACATTTCCTTTTAATAATTTAAGTTTAAAGCTGGTATTTTCTATAGCTTCAGTTTTAAGTGACGGAATAACGATATCGCATACGTATAAAATTACTTCGAAATTTTGCGAATACCCAAATCATAATAAATGGTCCGTTTCGACAGCTTCAAATTTTTTTTTAAATTTTTGGTAACTGAAGAAGTAGTTTTTAACATTTCTTCCTTAACAGACCTTAAAAACCATATCTTGGAGTGGAGAGAAATTTTTTTTCTTTTTCTAAATAGAAATTATAGATTGTTTCTCTACTTGTATATCTTAAACGATGTAGAAGTTTAATGGCAAACAGACAAGCAGAGAAAAATTATTATCCACATTTTTCGCACAAATTTTTGAAAAATATGCTTAAAAATGAAGAAAAATATGAGTCCAACGAAATAAACAGATTTTTCTTATTTTCCATATATGAGATTTAAAGTAAAAGTCATTATAAATTCTTTTAAAAGAAAATTAAAGCAAAAAAAATTATTTATTTTTTTTGTGACTTTGTCAAAAATTTTGTTCTTGGAGATGGAGAGCGTATATCTTCTCACTTACTACATTTTTTTTTTCACCTATATACATACATGAATAAAGAAGAATTTTATGTGACGGCAACATCCATAAAATGTTGGGTAAAAATATTGTGCACTCGATTCGAACATGGATTTACATACATATGTGTGTTAGTGTGAATATTATTATTAAACTTTTGCAAGAGACGTGCATTTAATATTCCCGTGACTTCAATAATGCGCTTTCGACGTAAACTTTACAAAGTACCACATTCCAAAAAGTTTAGTAAAAGCTCTTGTACACTTTTCCAAAATGCGTTCTCTACGTAGTGGATACGTAAAATAAACGTAAATCGGGTATCGAAAAAATCGTGCACGCTTTTCTTATACATGTCATATAAACGTTGCCAGAAATAACCAATTAAATAAACCAGCATATATTTTCAGCAATAGAGTGCTAGTTATTGAGTTTTTTTTTCTAAAATGCAGCATAAAAGTGCCATGTTTTTAATTTTTAACGTTTGTTAAAAATTAACATTTGCAAAATCAAAAAAATGTATCAAAAGCCTTAGCAGTTTTTTTTACAATTTAAAGGTATTGCAAGCTCTGAGACGGTACTACAACCGTATTAATACCGTACTTAAACTTTTTATAAGGCATTATTGAAGTCACGGTTCGTTTATAGTAAAAAGCTGGCAACATAGAAGTCGCAATAAAATAATCAATCAAAAGCAAATTTCAGGTTTCACAACTTCGATTATTGTAAAATTAAATGACGTTAAAAGACTTGTGATAGGCTTTGCAATAAAATCTAAAAAAAGCAGGTGTTTAGTTTCATCTTCTTTATTATTTAAAAACAATTACCCTAAAATGTTCTCTACTTTCAACAGATGTCAGGAGATGCAAACAAATTTATCAATCATATTTATTGCATAACTTATAGGCAGTCGAATAACACAAAATAATGGTGTTGTAAAGTTATCCATTGTTGAATAGTACATATTTTATTTCATTCTTTGTGTTTGGTTCTTTTTGGAAGATTATACCTTCATACAGTCATTCAACGGAACCAAATAAATTTATTTAACTGGGATTATTATAAGAGCTGTGGTTTTAAAATTGTTATGTTCTCCTTTCTCTGCAATCCTACAGAAATAAATATCAGAAATTTTCTATTTGGTTTATTTGATGATTAAATATTCTACACAAATTTTTAAATATTAGCAAAATATCATTTACATTTCGAAGAAAATAAATTTCAAATCATGGTCGCGTAAATTTGATATCTTTTCTTTAAGCAATATAATGAAAATAGCATTACTTTTGGTTACATCTCATCATAGATCTACTTTTCTACTACATTCAAAGAATTTCAAAAATTTCAAATTTTTAAAGAATTTATTAAAAGTGTTATTCACGTTATATTTTCGTCCTTAAGAAGTCATTACCAAAAGCTATGAATTTCATAAGGGATATGGTGGTGCTATTTTGTACGTGAATTGAAATTTTTTTGTGTAATAAAATGTAACAATAGAAAAAAGAAAAAAATTGATATTTTCAATTATAAGGTTATTCTTGCTTCTATAAAATGCCACCTATAGCATTAAAATGTTGATCCTGAGGATATACTGGTATATTATGTGTAGTTGTATGTGTTGTATGAGAAGATATCGTGTGTATATTTTGCTTTGAAATAAATTATAATTTTGTAATAAAATATATAGAGAATAAAATAAAATCACGTCTAGTAAAAAAAAAAATGTTGATGACAGATAATAATGAAAATAATCAATAAAAAAGGTTTTGGGTTTTAGGAATTTTTATATGAACTTTAACTTATTCCATAAAATTATTAAAATATTTCCATGCTCTGTACGAGTATATGAGAACTGAAAAATAATTGTTGTTTATTGAAAAAAATTTTTAATTTCAAATTAGTTTGGTGCCATTCCATGACCTGAATCAGAATTTTATAGAATAGAAAGTAATTGCAAAAAAACTTGCTACATTGAAATGCAATAATAATATTTTCAGAGCTATTCCATTTATTTAGTTCTCACTAATCTACTTCATAATACTTAAAACCCCGGAATTGTTAATCAATATTTCATTTATTTAAAATTATTTCTCAATCTTAAACTAAGAATTTTAACCTTGTTACTTACTTAATTCTAACCTTGTGCAGTTTCTTAATAAATTTTTTCAAATATCAGTTTAACGTTCTTTACATGCTTAACTAATTAGATAAATCCCGATTTAACCAAACTTGTAGGTTATCACATTTTTGGTCCAAAATATTTTTTCTGCAAAGAAACGATTTCTTTTTGCATATTGTTCTCTTAACATCGGATTAACAAGCTGCAAAAATTGCATACTGATAGGATGACGACAAAATAAAAGAGATCGTTTATAATAATTAATTATATTCAGCGAAAAAAATGTAATTTACCGTTATTTATTAATATTTTTCGTTAATTTTGAGAGGCTATAACTTAGGAGTAGAAGATGGTAGGCACAAATTATTTTCAAAAGAAACAGGTTTCTTTGTGTAATCTATTTGTTTTGCAAAAATTTAAGATTTCTAGTTTTTAAATAGAAATTATTACTTTCCTCAAAATGGTGTTATAGAAATGTGCTTAAAAGTAATTTTTTAATTTAAATTTTCAATATTTTCAAAACAAAAACCAATCTGCATTTTATTATTCATTATTAATAACCCTGAACTTATTTTCAATAGAATAATTAACTCACAAATCAACTACAATTAAATTTGGGTAAGAGAATTTATTTGGTATTAATTTTCCATTTTAAAATTTTAATTTTATTTTGCTATTACCATCACGTAATTGCATAGTTGAATAAAAAATTTTCTTATAATATAAAAAAATGTTTTATAATGAGTTTGAAAACAATTTCTTTATTTTTATCCATAAAATAACTATTCCGGTATGAGACAAACACTTATCAGTTTATTTTTAATGGCACTTCTATAATAATAAATTTCCTTGAGAAAACGGAAAGTAAATAAAATTTAACCTTAGAGTAATTTAAAATCACACTTACATAATATTCTAATAAATATTGTGCTACATTTATTTACTTATATACAGTAAATAGTTTCTGATGTTACAAGACTTAAAGTATTTTTGAAATTGTCAAAGACCGAAAGAACTTGCAATATCTTTTATTAAATATTTTGCCATTAATAAACAAAAACTAATATTCGTCTTGTTTGTCCCAACTCAAATTTCAGGGTTAATAGAGTATATATTTATTATGTGCTATTATAAGAATTGATTGATAATTTTATAAAAGTCATTTATACAAAAAAAAAAAACTAAATTAGTTAAAGGGAAATAAAAAACATTCACACAAATAAAAAATGGGGCTGTGTTTACATTAATAAATAATGATAGATAATTACAATAAGGATATTTTTTATGCCCTTGAAAAATTAACTTTTAAAATGTCTTACAAACTTTTTTAACAAAGTTTTTTTTCCTTAAATCTACTACAATATAGAAAAAAGGAAAAATACTTTAACAAAACGTGCTGATTTTATTGATTAATGACATTTTTATTAGAAATTATTTAAAAAGTTTTAAAATCAAAAAATTGAAAAAATAAAAATTTATGTGAATTCTATATTCATAATTATTACAATAATTTGAATTTAATTAATTCACAATTAAAAAATTCATTACCATAAATAAAATTTGGCATAATCTCTTATATTTTTACATCGTGATATGAAAAAGAAATAGCGGTAAGAAGAAAATGTTCGAACATTTTCATTTTTAATCCATTATTCCTTTATTATCCAGCCATGGTAATAATTCTTCCAAAGCGTCTAAATAACGGGGATTCGAAAATGACATGATTTTAAATTTCATTCCAGCGTCACCGGTGTCCATAAAATTATCCATTGTAGCTAATTCTGTTGGATCAACTAAAATGATGGGTAGTAATCCTTGAACGGTTGAAAATGCCCATAATGAATTTTTTAATAATTGTATTTGTAAATCTAAAAGTTTCGGTAATTCTTTTGTATACTGTAGTAATTTTAAATTTTCTATTAATTTATCATGATAAAATTTAACAAAATATTCAAATTTATCAATTTTAATACTTTTTTCACAAGATGATAACAAAAAATACCATAAATCTTGTGAAGGACTACCATATTTTGCTGCTGCATAATCAACAAAATATGTTTCTGTAATATTATCATTATCATCATATTGAAACATAATATTATTACACCATAAATCTCCATGATTTAAAACATTAAATTCATTTTCATTAACTTTCATAGCATCCAAAAATTTATCAAAACCATAATCTAACATTTTTAGCTAAAAGTAAATTCCAATTTAAAAATATAAATTTAAAATTTAAAAATATAAATTACCATTTTATGTATATACGGTTGCACATTTTCATTTTGTTTTAAACAATCAATATAAATGTTCATTAGAGATTTTTGCATTTCTAACATTGGTTTCATTATTTCTTCTTTAAATATTCCTTCTATATAAGTGGCTGCATAACCATCTCTTTCGTATACAATAACAGATGCTGCATGATATTCTGCAAGTTTTTCTAAAGTTCTTTTAACTTGATCAATATTTAAACCGATTTGTCGTTTAGCATTTACAAATTTCTTTGGTTTTAAATCTTCCATTAGGAAAGCTTCTTCACCGGGTGCTACAAAAACACATTTTGGAGAGAAACGTACAGTTTTTCCAGCCTCTTTATATAGTTCTTCAAATTTCGGTATAATTTTTGTATAAATTTCTATTTCTCTTGGAAATATATTCATTGCTTTAAGCATTTGACCACCAAATTCAGAATTTGGCATAGCTTTATAAATGTATGAAACAGTAGTTTCGGTCTTATCTATAACATGCATATTATTTCAAATAAAATTAAAATATTAAATTTTTAATGTAATTTTATTTACCTTCAAGTTCAACATCAACTTGAATACGATGCAAATCTGAAGCATAATTTTCACCAGCACCAGAAGTTAAAACTTCTTCGATTTTTTTAACTTTTGCATTTTTTCCAAACTCCTTTTCAATAACCTCAGTAATGTACTCTTCTTTAACTGATTTTAATGTTTCAGTTTCATTTTTATCATTAGCCATTTTTTTCGATTTTTTACTGCGAAAAAATATAGAACAGAGTTTCGGAAAACAAGTCATGTATGAACTAAATCATTCAAATTTTATTTTAAAAATAATTTTATTTTTCAATATTAAAACTAAGAAACTATTAAAAATTTATGTTTATCTAATCTTTAAATTATTAAAGTAAAGTGTGTGTGTACAATAAATAATTGTGATAATAGAAAAAAATTTAAATTGTACTTATAAAATATAAGGTACACGTTACGTTTATTGACGGAGATAAATTTTATTACAAAATAATTATGATTTGAAAGATTTGATAGCACATATTTTTAAGTACATATCTACTTATTTTACGATTTTCGAATTATATTTATGTAATGAGCTAATAATGAGTACAATCTTGATATAGTTACATAAATTAAATTCACAATAGTAAACAAATTATTACAATATGAATGTCTTCACTTATGTCATACATATTGTGGTTTATTGCAACTATATAGCTACAAAACTGCAATGATTGTCTTAAAAATTACAAAATAAGTGTTTAAAAGTGTTGTTTAATTATTTTAAATTGAAATGAAACAAAGTAATTGTTGAAAATGTAATTGTGTTTTGAAAACAAAATATGCTTGTATAAAACAAATGGATTCGAAAGTGGGACATTTTCCTGAAACACAACTTTTAGCTGTATGAAGATTTTGTAATATGTATTACAGTCTGAAAAACTGTTAAAAATAAACTACTACGCTTATACAAGCTGTATAACATAGAATAAAAGAAAATGAGAAAATAATTTTGTTATACATTTTTGGAATTTAAAAGCATTTTCTAGTTTTGACATAATAAATTGTGAAAAAAGTACATTTTTCAATTTTAAAGAGGCTAGAATTTTGAAATTGAAACAAAAATTTTCTTCCAGAACAACAAGTTTTTTATTAAAATCAATTTGTGCGTTGGATATATCCTTCCTATAATAAAAAGTATACGAACGGACGATTAATTTATTTTCCCCAATTATTCATAGAATACACACTCCCTATTTTAAAATCTATGAAATTAATCAAGTATACGGACAGACAGTCAAATTATTTTGTTAAAATGACTAATTTTTTTTACAAAAATTAAAAAAAAACTATTTATATTTTATTTGTAGTTGTTTCCAGAAAAATTTTTCAGAAAGCCAATGCATAATATACCTAAACATAAAACTATTTACAATATAAGTAATCAAACAAAAGTATCAATTATATATTTTAGTAATCTGATATTATTCAATTGTGACGACATACAAATAAAATTTTAAATTCATGAGATCATTCGTTTGATTATGAATTAGTATAACAATAAAATAAACTATACATTTTAATTTAAGAATTCAAAAATTATTTTAAAACTTTTTATATTTCATTTACATGGCAAAAAAAAGTCATAACTTATTTATTACATATGATTAAAATGCGAAACAAGTCTTCCATCCAGAACATGACAAATACAAAATTTTCTTTAATTATAATACTAGTACATACATGCATACTCGTTTGTGTAGCAATGTTAATATTAAGTTCATATGAAATTGAAATTATGTAATTGAAAATTTACCGAAATTTTGGTAATACCATTAAAAAAAAATGATTTCTTATTAAAAATAAAATTATAACTTTGTCACATTTAATTCGGTTGCCATATTGATGCTGATTTTTATGGTATTTAATAAGAAATCCAAAATAAAAATTTAAATATTTTAACTGCTTTTAATTCAGCACTGTTATGTACATTAAAAGTTCTGCCTACGTAAAACTTTTTAATTTCAAAATTATTATTGAATTCATAGGTAAATTTTTATAATAAACAATTTAGCAATATGTACATATATATGTACATATGTAACTATTAATAGTTATCATCATAATTATTGTGTAATAAAATTAATTCTTATTATTTTATTGTAATTTTATTGAAATAATGATAAAATTATGATGAATAAACTTTTAAACAATCAATAATTGAAATCAATTATTATATTTTTACTTATTTTTTATTGTAATATTAAAGTAATTCCTAAAATTGTGATTCTCTCTGAAAAAATTAAATGTTTGAACAGTACATGGGCAACCACTTGAACTGTATGTATTTTATGCATAATAGTTTCTATGCATAAAATCTATGGGGTCTATTAATCGTAGTTTAATTTATTTGTATCAGAGTTGAAGTATGAAAATTTAATAAAATAACGTTAACCATTACCCTCGATTGTATAATGAGTTTGATGTCAGTAAAATGCCAAGTCTGGGTAATAATGTCATTTTGAATACAAATATCGATTTATGTTTAGGAATAATTAATATGCATTAAATCTCATTTAACTATTAACTTCTTGATATATATATAACTGTAATACTGGAAATATACAAACGAACAAACTGACATATTGAAAATTAATTTTGAAATAATTCAGTTGAAATAGTCAAAAATTTTCAAATAATCAATGTTTTACCGTTGAAAGCTCTTTTTGTATATTGTATAACTCTACATAACCAGTATCAATGTAGTAGATTTTGCATTGTAAAACTACACCACAATAATAACTTTCATTGAAAATAATTTTTATAAAAATTACAATTATTTTTTAAGCAATTCATACACTGATAATTTCAGTACACGTATAACATTTTGAAATTAATATAGCAAATATTAATTTACATATTATACCAATAGGTAGGTAGAGTTTTGATTAAATCAGTAATGGACATAAAATTCTAAGAACAAATTTATTCATAAATTTATTTGCGTGTGTAAAAATTACAATGTAAATTTTGTAATAAATTTTTTTCTTATATGAATTTTCTCGCCAAATTGTAATTATTATCTTATTCATTCATACATACATATATGAAATTCTAATGAAATATAACATATAATTTAAAGAATAAATATTTATTGTAAAATTCTATTATACATTTACATAAAAATTATTTAAAAGTCGTTTAAATTTCTTCATTATGTGTTTAATTTATCAATTAATAAAGTTTAGATTATTGTAAAAGCTTCTTAATTATCTATTATTTCTTTTTATTATTATTATTTTTCTTTTTCAATAGAAAATTAGTCATTTGCGTCTAATTTTTTTGGAATTTTAGTGTTTTCTAAAATTACATAAGTATTTCAAAATTTATTCATAAAATGAACAAATTGTTTCATTAAATCTTAATTGCGAATTTATTCATGCTATTATCATTATAATTTCAACAACACTTAAAATTATATAATTAATTTTTTTTTTAATTTTTGCTTTACAACAATTGCTTCAACTATTTACAATAGATAAACTTTTCTTTCTTTATTTAACAAAAAAATAAAAAAAAAATTGCAAAGAAAAAATATAAAAAAATTATTACAATCTTTCGCGCTTTATTTATACATAAAATGTTTATTGAAAAAACAATTTTACAACATAATAAAATTTTACAAATAACAAAAAAAAAATATATTGACACACTTAAAAGTAATTTCAGTAAACAGAAAACTCCTTGAAATAAAATTCAAAACAAACAAAAGAAAATAAAACAAAAAAGCAGGTAACAATAAATTTGTTTTAAAAATTCTTATAATATTTCACTATATATTTGATATATATGGCAACACTTTTTAATAAAAATAAAAATATTACAACGTACAACAAAAAACAACAAAAAAAAAACGTGAGATCAATAAATTTTATAAAATTTTATTACTGAAAAAAAAAATTATTAAAAAACACTCTTACAATTTTACAAAACACCCGTAAACTTGATGTGACGACTGCCGAACAAAACTACTAATAATCTCAATATTGAAACTTATAAACAAAAAAAAGTTTATTTATCTCTCATTCTCCTACACATTCCGCGATCAATCAAATTAAAATGATTACGTATGAATTTTTACACTTTTTATGAGAATATTTTTTTGAGTAGAAATAGAGTAATAGACAACCCTATATACACACATTCATAATGACAACCCTATATACACACGTTCATAATGTACTTACATAAAATTTTGCTTTTTATCTCATGCGATAATGACAAACTATTATAAATGCAAAGCTTTTGTTTAAAGTTTTGCTTACAAACATGTTCACATATATGTTGTCCATATGTATATGCATATATAAAATAAATATATGATAAATTTAATAAAGAGTAAATCATTTTATGATTGGATTAGGCAAACGTCGGTAGAGATGTGACAAGTATAAACGGACATTTTTCTATTTAAATTATTTTTAGTTATAAAATTTAATAAAAAAATTTTTGAATGAAATTATATTATAAGTTTTTATTAAAATTAATAATATGAAAACCTTCATCATAAAAAGATAATGGATATGGTAAATTATTGTGTAATGTTGCACGCTGACTATAGGAATATGATTTGCACATATTTACATAAATTGTAAATTTTACAGATAACAGTAACAGTGCACCGCGACCAGCATAAAAAATATAATGTGCCTCTTCCCCATCAGGTTTGGGACACGCAAATACAACAACCCCTCGACGACTATCCCTCTGTTGAATTCGAGTCAAGTTGAACTAAGTGAATTGTGTAACTTAAAAGGTTCTGCCGATCACAGCTCCGCCGCGATGTATACGTAGTTCCCCACAATTTCCCTTCCTTTGCAAATGAGGACCGCACAGTTTCCGAGAAGATGCAGTGAGATTCGGTTATGCTTTATGCCCGCAAAGCTCCGTCTAGTGAATGCTTTGCTTCGGTTTCCTTTTAAGTTTTGATAAATATTCTAGATATTAATAAGCATTTTACTTTGTACTAGAATCAAATCTTTGAAAAAAGTTGATTTTTTTATCTCCTATTTCTTCAATTTAACAATCTTCGTCTTACTTCTATAAAAGTAAAAATATGGCAGTAATTAAAAATGTTATACCTGAACTAATTAATTTGCAATTTAATTATTAGTTGAAGATTAATCCTAAAAGTATGCAATTTCTATGATAAGATATGTGATAAGATAGTTTTAACAGAGCATCATTTTGTTAAATATTGTTTGTACATGTATAAAATACCAAAGTTCCAGATTGAAATTTGTTAAAGAAAAACATGTTTTTTTTATAAACCAGGATTTTAAACGACTTCATTTTTTATTAAGAAATTTGTAATCATAAATTAATTGAATATTAGTATACATATAACCTGTAACATGAGTTATTTTTCTAAAGTACATTATTTAAAAGTATACAATAAATAAATAAATCAAAAATCTACGATTCTATATATTGGGTTTTAAACGTTAACACATTAAAATAATGTAAGACCTATAGATTAATAAAACTAAGATATACTTACGCACATTATTGAAAAGAAGATAGCCGGAAAACTTTGTAATATAGTTAGAAAAGTTTCATCTAAACTTTTATACATCCATATATTATATTGTAGGTATTTATTTATTTGTAAAAAAAAATTGTATGTGTAATATGTGGAGGTATATATAGTATGCCTTGTGAGCTCACTATAAATATACATTATATTATATGTATGTATGTAAGTACAAAAACCTGATATTAATTTATATTGTCTATCTTAAATTATAGTAATTAAATAAAAACTTGACATTTACAAATCAAAAATAATAATTAACTAACAATATTAAATACTTATGTGGGTAGTATCGGAACACGCACAAGTTATTAAATGTTAATAATATACAGGTTAGTAAAAATGAATAATAATAGTAAGATAATAAAAATCAGTTAAAATTTCAGTAAGTTACTTTGAAAACTATAATTATTATAACCTTAAACTTCAAATTGTGATATCCGTGACAATGTATGTTCGAAGAGCCTTATTAATTTGCCTTACCGTTTGTAACGCTAAGGAATAAATGTCTGAAATATCGACATAAGTGAGGTTTTTGATCAGCGTCTAATTCAGAGTGGATTTAACCATGCCTGTCCGTCAATCGGGCCTAACTGAAAAACTAATTGAACTAAGCTCATTAACTAAACTTTCACAAATTGTTTATAATACTAAATACCGCAACCCTATTTAAATTGAATATGAGAGTTATTAGGATAGTTGCCCTCCAACTTTAAAAGTCATTTGCTCATATTTTAGAAACTAACGAAATTAAAGTACTGAAATTTTACATAAATACGGTAATACGGCAACTGTTATTATCGTGTGAATGTATTTTCAAGAATGTTATAAATCCACCAATAGAATAACAAGTTCGTACAGGTACCACAGAGTTGACATGATCAACTCATTTTTCTATTAAATTTCGGATATATATATGCACGTACGTTTCGGTACATAACTATATACATATATGCGAATATTTTAAAATTCTTAAAAAGCTTTAAAAAGTTTAAAGTATTTAATAATTGCAGGGGAAATTTTAATATGATCATTTTAATAAAGAATTATATAGAATATGTCAAAAGTTAAGGAGTATAGAAAGAAATACAAAAAATATTACCGCAAAATACATGCACGTATGTGAAAGGGAAACAAATGTTTTATAAGAAAAAAAACAATGAAAAATATGAAAAGTTTAACCGTATTGTTTTAATAAAATACCGTTTTAAATTTTGGCATATACATATACCTATATTGTACTATGTTCCAATGGATGTGTGTATATTTATGTACTTATACGTATATTTCAAATTATATCTTTAATATTCTCACAATATTATTCATAAAATATACGAAATAGATTTCAAAGTCAAAAAGTTTTTAAAGGCTTCGAGCATCACAATATTTTTTTATATAATTGTATGTACAGATATTATGTTCATATGCATTGTAAATGTTGCGTGTATAACATAGTATAATAGATATATAATATAATATAATACTTACCCAAAACCCATAATAAATACCGTGGTACTAAGTGTATCACTTTATTCAAATATATATCAATATATGAATTCTTGTATTATTTTTAGTAATATTATTGCATACAACAAGGGAGGTATTATAATTGTACTAAAATTCCAATATCGAGCTTCAATCGGTAATTTAATGGCCTTGTACGTGTTGAGGTTTGTTGTCTTTAAGAAGATATAAGATATTTTGAGCTGCTTATCTATCTGTTTCTACTGTTCTGTACTTCAATTTCAGTTAAAGCAATTTACATTGAAATTTATATTTTATTTGCCTTTATTGTTAAACATTAATGGTAAAGTGGGCCAAAGAAAATTGAACTTACATTATACTTTCTTTTAGGATACAGTGAGTCCCAATTTCTGGCAACGTAACTGACTACGTATTACATCTAATTTAAAAAAAATCACAGAATGCAGTTATATAATTAAGCAGGTCATAAGGAAAATATTTCCTACAATAAAACAAAATTTATAGATGGAACAACTAATAAGCATTTTAATGAAATTATGTTTCAGAAACTTGATTTTGGGAAGGCTTCTGTTTTAGCTGTTGTTTTTTCAGTAAGTTAGACTCGTGCTATTGTAGGTTTATTTGCATATTATGCTGTAAATTCGCGATACGTGTAATCGGTCATATGCTATTAATATTAAATTTTTACATTTGCAAATATTATATATAAAATATAATATGTATATATATATAACGAAATTCTATATATATATCACGAAAATCTAATATAATACTTTTCGCATTTTCAATTTTTAGTATATAAAATGTTGAAAAATACTTTAAAATTCTTGAAAATTTTCTCATTACAAATTTTTTTTTATTTTTCCTGTGCCTCTATATATATATTATTACGGTGGATATATATGTATAAAACTTTTTGTTGGCGGTTAACAGATGAATAAATAATTTATTTTGCATTTATAAAGAAAGCAAAATATGTGTGTGTGTGTGTACGAGTATATTATTATTATACGTTTTCAGTTTATTATAAAATTATTATAGAGAAGGTTTATTATAGCTCAAATAATGATTTTCATAAATCTCTAAATAATGCACACATGAATGATTTAAAATGAAAAGAGTAGACACAAGTTAATGTTAAAGTAATGTAGATTTTTGAAATACCAAAAAAAAAAAAATTATGCATACTTTTAAAAGTTGATTTATTGTTAAATAGAAAACTTTGCTTTGATTTTGTTTCAGAATAAAAAAAAACAAACCTCCAGCAAAAATAAAAGTTCTTTTGTTTTTTTCAAAAACAACTTTTCAGAATTTCACATTAGCGCTGAATTATAGTAAAAACATAAAATATACGCACATGTAGATGTATGGTATGGCATGGCTTTGTTTCGAAATCCTTTTAACGCAAATGTCAACTGGAAAAAATGTATTTTATGAGGTTTTAGTAATTTGCTGCACACATTAAGAACAATTTTGTCAACATGATTTGTGAATTCTCATAACACATTTACTCTCTCTGTGTATTTTGAAGTATAATAAATCAATGAAAGCTTTTGTGGAATTATGTTATTTGTCTCTGGTATATACGCGAATGTTATGCATACGTTATAGTTATTAATAAAAATGGAGTGTAGTTATTTTGCTGTTATTATTATTTTGCTTGATACTGTTAAGATATAATAATATTTTTTTTTTTTGATATTTGTATTAGAACAACAATTAACTTTTTTGTACAAACATGCAAAATATTGCAAAAAAAAGTTGCGGAATTTAGTGGAAAACAGAAAAAGTTTTTGGAAATTTTATGAAATATCATTACTTGAATTGTAAAAGATATGGCTCTTCGACTCTCTTCCATAGTTACCATTATTCAAAAAGACAAGAAAATTATCAAAAGCCAGTAGTCAAGTCTTATTCGAAGCTCTGGAGAAATCTTCCGGTTGTTGAGCAAGCGAAAGGGCTTCTGGGTAACAATAACAAAAGGCGGCTCTGTAATAAAATTGCGATAAGAAAAAAGCAGTTGAAATTCTCTTGAGACACCTG